ATGTATGCTCATATTTTCAGGTAAAGTGACTCAATATTTTTTTAAAAAATGTCGCAGCATGAAGTTTGAGTTTACTTTACGTTTACATCACATCTTCTCCTTTGAGTTTATTGGCCGGTTGCAAAGCAAAAATCACTGTCTGACTCATGTAGACCTGGAGTTTCCCCATTATCTGATTACTCAAGTGCATGTAAACACATTGATCGGATTACTTACAAAATCTTGTCTGCAGTTATCGGATTATTAAGTGCATGTAGACACACTCAGTGAGAGTAACTGGTGATGGTATATAACAGTGTTGAAGTTTAGTAGTAGACTTACTTTTCTCTGTTCACTGCGCAGGAGCTTTAGCTTGCTTGTAGCATGTCTGCATTATTCATATTCATATTTAGACTGCTAAACAACCTCATAATTTAGCAGATCCAGTAACACTTCCAAAGCAGTATGTTTCAATACTTTCTTTGCAGTATAATTAAAAAATAATAATATAGAACGTAATTTACTTCTACTGCCTATTTAGTCTTTTTAGGCACAATCTGATTTGAACACCTCAATAAGTCTGTTTTGTGTTCCAGTACCGGTGCTGGACACGTATTTCATTTCTTCTAAATTTCAGAGACGCACAAAGCCTTTTTCACACATGCACAGTTGTTACAGTCCATAGACTGACCTTCAAGCAGACATATTCATATATCAAAAAAGAAAATCATTTCCTTGGCTCCCAGCTGACCATTTCAAATTGAATAGAGAAGAACGAGATATATCGAGCCAGCGGGTAAAATGAGCCACCTTTTGTATTTGGGCAACCATGCGCAGAAATAAGCATTGGATCACAGATTCAGACAAATTAGTTCAATTCATGTGAATTCTGATTGAGATGAGCATGTGGAGAGAGTGGAGAGCTTACCAGAGCCAAAAACGTGCTTTTTCTCATGCCAAGTGAAGTTATAAAGGTTAAGATGTTTTCGTTTATAAAACGTTTACTTTTTATATCATTAATGTTATGCTACATTTACAAAATATGTATTTTATTTAAAAACACCATTATTTTGTGGCTGAGATTTTGGTCACTGGTGTTATCGGGACTCTTATGTTACATTTTAACACAGTATTTTCAACTCTATTAATCTGCTTCTTTGGGTCGAGGCTCATCAGAGAGGAAGCATCTCAAGGCATGAGAAGGCGAGTCACACTTGCTCACTATATTTCATTAATTTATTAATAATTTTGTGTCACTGGTGTTATGTGCTTTAATGGCTGAGTAATTAAAATTTTGTCAAAATAATCTCATGTGTCATTTTTATTACTGATTTTAATAGTTGCACCAGATCACCTGACCACCAGTGAGTCAGCCAATTTATAAAATCCTCAGTTTTAACCAGAATGTCACTGGAGTCACCGTCACTGGTGTTACATTTTATTCGTATAACACCAGTGACTGTAAAATATCTTTGCAATTAAGTTCTTCTTTCTGCATATATGATAATAGGAGATGTTAACGGGCATATTAAGATTATTTAGTTTTGGGATGAAAGAAACGTATAAGAAAAATGTATCCATCTGAATTCCCACACCAAATGGAGAATGATCCAACTGCAGTTTAGAAACTGCTGTTTTAACTCTTTAATTTCCTAATATGTGTGCGTACCCTGCAAAACAGAAATTTATGCTGGTCTAAACTGGTTTGTGCTGGTCTAGTGCTGTTCTGGTGCTGGTTTAGCTGGTCACCCAGCAAGGTCAGGCTGTCCAGTCTGGTCACTAGTCTAGTCTAGTCTAGTCCAGTCTAACAAGAATATTTTGGAAGGACCTTATATACATTGAAAACTCTGGGGGAGGAGGGAGGAAGGAATGGAGTTTGAGGAGGGGTAAGGAGGGGGATGAAGAAGGAGAATATGAAATGAGATGTAGGGGGTAGAGATAAGGGGGGGTTGATTGTTATCACCTTCAGGTTATGAGACAAAGAGTCATCTCAGTACAAACAAAGCAATGAGTTGACAAGGTTATAGTGTTATCACCTTTCACCTCATCCCTTTCTGCAAAGGACGGGGGCAAGTATTACTTTTCTACAACAAAAGGCCATTTGCTAAAACTCTACAGTTAACTTGGTTAAGACCCTTAAGAAAATAACATACAAGGGAAAACAACATATATTGAGAATATTTTCTCTCAAGGCTAACTGACCAGCATGCTAGCATCCAAAACACAATGTGCTGGTTTTGCTGGTGACCAGCATATTAACTTCCATTGCTACTGACCAGCAAACCAACATCTGGAACATATCACTGCTGTCTGAAAAAAACCTTGTATCTCCAAAACGGTAACTTTACAGGAGAAGGAAAAAAACATTCTTAACTCTAAATGGAAGGAACTAGATTGCTTTCCAAGTACTTTTGGAGCATTTCAGTTGGTCTGTTCATCATGAACTTTTTGCACGTTGTAAAGGTCAGCTAGCATTTTCAAATCTGACCAGCCATACAGGTCTATGCTGGTTTTTCTAGCAGGAAATATGTAAAAGAGGACATTGTTGAGTACAGTAATATACTGCTATCAGTGTGTAATCTTGTAAAAATGGTGTTAAAAGCAGTTTCTGCATTGAAAAACCTAAGTAGAATAAAGTAGAATATGACTATTGTAAACAAACCTAGCAGTATGACTGCTGTAACCTGGCAACTGTACATTTCTAGAGGAATTTTTAGGAGTGTTGGTCTGATGTATTACCAGACTCATGAGTCACCAGTTTAAGGCATCCGGATCATGGTCATCGAGTTTCGAGAAGTACAGCCATGTTGTGCACTAGACTTCTCTCTTTTTAAAGGCTGGTTGGAGCACTTTTGAGCCTTGGATTTGTTGGTTTTATTTCCAGTAAGTTACATAACCAAGAGCTGTTATGGTCACCAGTAAATAAGGTTATTAATGTGTTTTTCGTCCAGCCAAAGCATGCGTCCCGAATTCCTTCTGCATTTTATTGCTGATTGTACCGCTATGAATTGGTTAAATTCTGGAAACAAACTTCCATTAAAGGCATTAAAACAGAGGATTAACTGCCTTCTTGTATGTGGTGGACATGAATGACTTCACTCACCCTGAAACACAGTCAATTCCCAGTCCAGACATCATGATGCAAAACACATAAATATAAACAGCCACTGGATACAGTTACCATAGACTGTAAACAGACTTCACATCACATTACATAAAGCTATCAAAATGTTACATAATCTTTAAGTACAGGTTGTGATTCTTTGAGTACAAAATCGCCTGGTTTAAGGTTTCATGTACAAACGCTAACAATAGCGGCTTTCGGTCAGAGCAACACTGGCTATTCCAGTCATTTTGAGTGGCCTGTGCTTTGGTTAGGTGGCTGTATGGGTGTATGTTCCTCTTGCGGTAAGTGGAGATTATGGTTAGTAGCAGTGTGGAATGCTGAAGAGGCTGGAAGTGCTCTGGGTTTCCTGCCCTGTTCCCTCTGTGCTCTCACAGGCTCTGCACACTGACCTGTGCTGAAGAGGAGAGGGGAAGTTGTTGTGGCTCGACAAAAGGAAATTACAGTGATTACCAGGCAATTTAGTGCTTGTGCACTTGTTCAGGTTGTTGAGAAAAGATTTGCTTCCTGAACGAATTACAGCTGTTTTACTCAAGTTTGATTGGAAATTTCAATCAGCTGGTTTTCATCCATCCACCCACCTCCCCAAAAACAGCACCCGCACGTCTCACACCATGTTCTCTTCATCAGCTTCATCTTTTCAGTTGTGATTTTTTTCCATCATATTCTTCTCCACCTCCTCCTTTTTCTTTTTGATCATCTTTCTTCTTCTTCTTTTTCTTCTTCTTCTTCTTCCTTCCCATTTTCATATTTTTTCATCTCGATCCTGAGCTTTCTTCTTCTTTCTTTTCTTTTTCTTCTTCTTTTCAATTGTGATTTTTTTCCATCCTCTTCTTCTCCTACTCCTCCTTTTTTCATTTTGGTCTTCATCTTTTTCTTCTTCTTTTTCTTCGTCCCCATTTACATATTTTTCATCTGTCTTCATCCTTTTCTTCTTCTCCCTCTTCTTCTTCCTCTTTCCTTCCCATTTCCATATTTTTTCATCTCAATCTTTATCTTTCTTCTTCTTTTTTTCTTCTTCTTGTTTCTCATTTACATGTTTTTTCATCTTGATCTTCATATTGCTTCTTCTTCTTCTTCTTCTCCCCCTCCTGTTTCTACTTCTTCCTTTTTTCTTCCACTACTCCTTCTTTTTTTCCCTTCTTTTTCTTTTTCTAATGCTACTATTTCATCTTGCTTCATTTTTCTTATTCTTATTCTTCTTCATTTTTAGATTTTTTCATCTTGATCTTCATCTTTCTTTTTCTTCTTTTTCTTCCTCCCCATTTACATATTTTTCATCTCAATCTTCATCCTTTTCTTCTTTTTCTTCCTCTTGTTCTTCTTTTTCCTTCCCATTTTCATTTTTTTTCATCTCAATCTTGATCTTTCTTCTTCTTTCTTTTCAACTTCTTCTTGTTCCTCTTTAACATATTTTTTTCATTTTGATCTTCATACTGCTTCTTCTTCGTCTTCTTTTCCTCCCTCCTACTTCTTCCTTTTTTTCTTCCACTACTTCTTCTTTTTTCCTTATTTTTCTTTTTCTAATGCTATTTCATTTTACTACATCTTTCTTCTTCTTCTTCATTTTAGATTTTTTCATCTTGATCTTCATCTTTCTTTTTTCTACTACTTTTTTCCTACTTCATCTTTTCTTCTTCTTCCAGTATTACTACTACTACTTCTTCATTTTTGCTTCTTCTTTGTCTTCTTGCTCTTTTTTGTCTTCATATTCTTCATTAATCTTGCATTTTCCTATAAGCAAAATATCATTTCAAATGATATTCAATGATGAATCACACTGTCATGTCAGTTTGCTCCCAAGACTAGGCTTAATCCATGCCCAGAACGCCGCTCCTATATGTTACTGTGCACAAATGAATCAGTGATATAATGTGCTTCTATCTCTCCTCCTCAGGTTCCACTGAGTGCGGAGTGTGTGCGGGCTCTGATGAAGCTGACGTACTGTCCGCAATGTAGAGGTGTGGCCTCAGCCAAGCCCTGCTCCAGCTACTGCAGGAACGTGATGAAGGGCTGCCTGGCCAATCAGGCAGATCTGGACACTGAGTGGAAGAACTTGGCAGGTGGGCAGGGCCATTTGTGGCCTCAGATGAATGAGAGTCAGAACAGGAGTAAGATTTAGAATCAGAGTGGGTGATAAGGAATTTGCACAAGCTCATATGAACGTCGTCACAGTGAGTTATTATTATTGTTTTGATGCACCGTTAAAGGGCCCAAATCATGGATTCCTCATGTTCCTTAAATAAGAGTTTGATATGAGATGTAAACATTGTTAAGGTTTCAAATGTACACACACCAGTTCATACAGTCCATATATGAAAACTGAGCTGCAAATACAGCCATTTTTGTGATGTCACAAATACCAGTGCATTTACATGCACCCGCCCATTTTAGCCTACAGTAGTTTAGCCCCGCCCATACACGCCATAGTTATAAGGATTGTTTCAGCCCAGTCTGCTTTTTGAGTGAGACACAATACAGGGCAGCCAATCAGAAAAGAGGTAATTTACATATATGATTCTTAAAGGCACAGTAACACAAACAGCCTGTTTAATTCTAAGGTATAAAGAGAGGTCAGAACATGGTCATGTGAAAATGATTTTGTATATAAACTCAAACTGTAAAATATGGACCCTAGAAGTGTGATGACATAATTTCATATTTCTGACTTTTTTTGCTTGTTTTGTTGTTAAGCAATTATAAAAATGGTGCAAAATTGTAAAAGATGGTTCCTGTTTCTACAAAACAAATCTGTATGCACAACAAAAACATTTTAAGATTCAAGATTCACAGATTCAAGTCATGATTAAAAAGCTCCTCCTCTACTTTGAAACATAAATGTTGTATCAATTGAAGGTTTAGAATCTGCACTTTTAGGCAATTGGAGAGACATAATCAAAACATTTCAACAAACTACACATTCACTTGTTATCGCCAGTGATTGTTTAGTGTTAGAATAATGGCTGTGGTGTGATTTAGTGATCGTTCCTTTTTTTTGCAGCTTCATTTGTTAGAAATCAAACAAAATTACCCTCACTCAGTATTTGTCCAGAATAGGAAGAGCATTGAAATGAAAGTATTACCTCAGAATATGAATTGCATGTGTGAGAACATTGATGTTTGTAAGAAATGGTTTCCTTTGTCCCTGTCTGATCCCATCTTGACCTCTCTCTATCTGGTTGTTCTCCATCGGAGCTCCGGGAATGCACAAGAAGCAAGAAGCTTGTAGAACAGCTTTGTACAAAAAGATTCTCCTTTTAGGAAAATCCACTGAATTTCCTTTCAATGTTCTCTCCAGTTTACTTCATTGACTGTGTGTGTGTGTTTTTGTGTGTGTGTTTGTGTGTGTAGATGCTATGTTACAGGTAGCTGATAGGCTGAACAGACCCTACAGTATGGACGCTGCAGTGCTCTCCCTGCCCAAGCGCATCGCTGAGGCCATCCTCTACATGCAGGACAACCTGAGCACCTTCAACAGCAAGGTCCAGCTCCAACTGCACATCTAGCCATGAGCCAACCACACATACACACTCACGGACACTTATTAAGCTGAAATGTGTGATCTGAGTCCTCCAAATACAGCAGAAAGCATGATAAATCATCAAAGTTAAGAAATAAATTCCTGAAGGAGGCAATATTGTCTGGTATTGGAGTAAGCTGGTTTCACTTGACAGGATTACATGGAATAAGTATGAAAAGTCTGGAAACAGATGGAATAATCTAAGTGCTCGGGTAGGAAAAATCCTATAAAGTGAGATATTAGATTTGGTCTGACTTAAATTATCTCCACTGGTTATTTATTTATTTATTTATTTATTTATTTATTTATTTACATATTTATAACAGTGAAGGACTAATGTCTTTCTCATTCTCTTTGGTGTTATGGTTGAAATTGCCACCAGTGGGAGATGGAAGGCCGAATGCACGAGTGTTTGCTGCCTAGGAACTTAAGCAAAGCAATGAAACTTCGCTCTGAATGCAAGTCTCAAGTTTTTTAGAGCCAGGAAGAGGGTATAGTTGTCATATCGGTTTTAGTGATGGTGACACATTTTTTAAGGTAGCATTTAATATATCAGTACATTCATTATTTTTGTCATATTTTATAGCCAAATTCTTAATATGTATTATCAAAATGAATTACTGGGGGGGTTATATTGCAAAGTAATCCCCCCCAACACACACACACACACACATATCCCACCTGGAAATTACACCTATGGGTGCAAAGGATCACATGCTGACGAGTACATTAACTCAAGTACTGTACTGTACTATCACTGTTGTCATGTGATAGTATCATGTGGTTACTAATGCTGTCATGTTAACTGCTTCACTTTAGCGTTTTGCAGCACTGCAAGCAATTCTACAGAGGGATTCACTCGAAAGAGGCCCCGAATATTCTGTTGTAACTCCCGTTAGGATGAAGCAATCTGAACCACAAAAATACGCTACATACCTTGATGTATGTGTAATCGATTGCATTACATGCAATGCCGGAAGTGATCTCCGTTTTCCCGGAAGTTGCAAAAGGAGGTTAAACATCACGACGGCTGTCTGGCACCTACGTCTTCGCTCCAACGCAGGGGCATCCTGGCTTGTTCGGAGCTCCATATACTGAGGAGCACATTGCACATTGTTTGGTTCAGATTGATTCATCCTAGAGAGAGTTATTACAGAATATTCGGGGCCTCTTTCGAGTGAATCTCCCTGTAGATTATTGTGCTAGATTATTGACAGTATCGGATCAGATTTGTTCTTTTGCCCACTGATATCTGCTGATATCAGCCTGATACTCTGTATCAGATCAGCCATCTCAACACAATCTAAATCTGCTTTTGTGCTACAGTTTCTCATTAGATTTCTGTGAAGTTCATAAAATCTTTCCAATTTCTGTAAAGCTTGTCCAAACTAACAACAGCTGCTATGAGCGAAATGCATATGTGGGCGGAGCATGGATAGGTCAGTTGCAGATTAAAAAAAAAAAAGAAGAAGGAAATAGACTTGCCATATTTTAATGGATTTTGTAGGTTTTTTTGTGCTTTGTCTTCAGCAGGAACATTAGCTGACTTGGCTGCATTGCTCATGGCCACCCATTAAGCCTTCGCTATTATTGCTGCCATTAGACACAATTAGCATCTATGAAATATTCATACTGCTTATGTAGAAATTATGGTAATAGTGAGAGGACAAAAATAACTGCGTCTCGCTCAACCTTCTCCGCAAAGCTTGGTTATAATGATTAATATGCCAGGAGTCCCTGGTTTAGATGCAGTTTTTGTAAGTAATGGTCACATGTTCAAAAAGCAGCGCACTGTCGTGTTCAGAAGGCAACAGTCTTTAACTACCAGCACACTGGTAGTGAGCGCACTTCCATTCACAACTACTAATTCGTGTCACTTTAGACTGTTTTTCAATTGTTGTAAAGCCCTTTGAGCTTTACTGTGTAAAAAGTGATATTTAAACAATATTTATTTAAACGAGCAAAAGTATAGTAAAAATGATGATGATGATGATTATTATCATGATTATTATTATTATTATCATTATTATTATTATTATTATTATTATTATTATTATTATTATTCCTGGCCCAAACAGCATTTTACAATCTTTGAATCCATGTTCTCAGTCACTCTTAAAAACCATAATATTTGAAGTGTTTTTAGTCATTGGAACAGATACACTTCCATTTTAATCAGTGTTTCAGTCCACACTGGCTATGGTAGACATTGGTCTTACGTCTGTCTAGCCTTTCTGTCCCTTCACGTTTTTTTCACTTCCACTGAGTGTAGAGATCCATTCAAATCACACAATTCCACTTTCTTAGTGCTCCAAACTAATAATAGTAATTCAGAGCAGCTCCTGTGCTGTATTAATGATGTGTGGAGGAGACTCTTCGCTGATACAGTGGTTAAACTGCTGTAATCTTGACCAGATTGGTCAAATTTTAAACCTGCTGTAATACTGTTTCATTAGAAAACAAAGAAAGAAAAATAACTAATATTGGAGCTGAGTTGGTGGCAGTGTGGATTGGATGCATGGCGGTGCTCGGATAAGGACCACTATACTCACATATTTGAGATGATTCATCAAACTGATCATGCCTGTGTGTATTATACCAATCTCTGTTGCAAATTTTGCACTGAGCATTTTTCTTATTGTCCGATAATTAAAAGTGCTCCCACACACAATTTCTTTGTCAGGCACCTCTGCTTTATTAGCCTTAATGGATGCATGGAAAGTGGTGAAGTTTGCACTCTGAGGCGAGGCGACATGGGTGCCTGACACGAATTTATGATACATTTAACTGAATCAGCTATGATTTTTAACATTTTCCATAATTCCATAATTAGGTCAACCATAATTATTACCATTATTATATTATTATTATTATTATTAATATTATTGTTATTATTATTATTATTATTATACTATCAGTATTATTATACTCATGGTATGAAATGTGAGAGTGATGAGTTGTTCTGTGCGTGTGTTTAGGTGTTCCAGGCGTGTGGTACTCCTACAGAGAGCCCCAGCCCAGAGGAGCCGGTGAAGAGAGGCCAGAACCTGGCCGAGGACGTCAGCAGCACTTCAGGAGCAGGACTGGAGAAACTGGTATGTGTCTGTATCTGTTAGATCTTCAGGCCTGAAATTTTGGTATGGATCCAAATACAGCCTGAGAACATCCTGTCTGAGACTCAGCCGACTCCAACCACATCATCACATTTTGAGTCTGAACCCGCACTGAGCCCACCAAAATTGTATCCAAAGTCTACCGGGACCATACAAAGAGAGGAGTTAGCTTAAAAAGAATTTCGGTTGCACAACAAACACCTAAGGTGCATCATAACTAGCAGTGCATAATGTGATCGTAGATCATAAAACACCGTTTTCACCATCTGCAGCCAGTAACAAGTTTTTGAAGTAAAAACTTTTTGAAGTTAACAGGATCCTGCAAATTAATCAAGAGTTTTGTTCGAAGCTGCTGAGACACGCTTTCCCATGGGTCTGTTTTACTCTAGCACTGTAACTCCTGCCCCTGCAAACAACAGTTTGTAGCGGGTTGTTTTACAGGTCAGTTAAATGTTCTCTTCCTGTAAAAGAAGACGGTTTTTGACCACATCAAAAATGATGAAACCTGTAGATTAAATAAGTGTAAAAGGGTAAAATTGATGTAAAAATCTTTTTTCATCTAAACTAAAACTTTATTTTTCATGCAAAGTATTTATTTGAATAAAACCAGTTAAACTGCTTGTTATCACGTTTTTTTTTTTTCAGGTTCAGAGGAACCATATTTTACATTCTCTGTTTACATCTCTCTCTCTCTCTCTCTCTTAGTTATCAGATGTGTCCAAAAAGTTGAGGGATATGATGAAGTACTGGGTTCAGCTGCCCGGTAAGCTGTGTGTGGATCGCGAGGCCAAAACCAGTGATGAGAACAAGTGCTGGAACGGCATGGCTGTAGACAGGTACAACACATTCACGCTCAATCAGCCCCACTGAGCTTCTGTGTGCAGCCACTTGCTGTAATCACAGAGCAGCACCACAGACAGTGTCTGAGCTATACTCACCATTTATTACCATTTTTCTAATTGCTTGTATTCATATGAACTGCTTATGATTGTAGTAAAACTGACAGGCAAAATCACATTTTTCTATAAGGGCTTCCATCACTATCCGAAGCCTGTCAAACCTGATGGGTTTTTAGTGGAGGTTTACTTCTGTACAGTGCAGTGCCTCCAGCTGATAACGAGACTAAAGTAAGACTCGGCTCACACCCAGGAGACTCGAAACTTGATTCTGACTCACCCCCCCAGAGACTCGAGACTGCACCTGTACTCATACCTCTGAGAAATGACACTCGTTTCTGACTCAAACCCCAGAAACTCAAAACTGCATTCTGGCTCACACCTGAAAATTGAGACCAAACTCCAGAGACTTCAGACTAGACTCAAACTCAGGCTCCCTAGAGACTCAAGACTGCCCTTGGACTCACAACCCAAGGACTCAAGACAGCACTCGGACCTGAGCACCAGAGACTCAAGACTTGACTCAGACTCACACCTCCAAGAATTGAGTCTAGACTCAGATTCAAACCCTCGAAACTCAAGACTTGACTCAGACTCAAACCCCGAAGACTCCAGACTAAACTCAGACCTGAACCCCAGAGACTCGAGACTGCACTTGGACTCACACCTCAGGGAACTGACACTCATCTCTGACGTGCGTCACGCCTTATAGAATTGAGACTCGACTTGGACTTGCACCCCAGAGATTCAAGGCTTGACTTGGACTCACATCCCAGAGACTTAAGACTCAAGACTGCACTCAGACCTGAACCCCAAAACTCAAGACTTGACTCGGACTCACACCTCCAAGAATTGAGACTAGACTCAGACTTGAATCTCTGAAACTCAAGACTCGACTTGGACTCACACCCGAGAGACCGAAGACTGCGCTCTGACTCGTACCTCCGAAAATTGAGACTCAACTTAGATTCGCACTTAGAGACTCGAGACTCATCTCAGACTAGCACGCCAGAAAATTCAAACTCGACTTGGACTTGCACCCCAGAGACGAGAGACTTGACTCAGACTTGCGTCCCAAAGAATCAAGACTTAACTCGGACTCGTACCCCAGAGACTTGGGACTGCACTCAGACTCTCACCTTAGAGAATCGAAACTCGACTCGGAAATAAGCGACTTTAGACTCGCATGAAGCAGCTTGTGAACATCTTTGTGGCGTGAATATGGTATTTTTATGCTTTGGCTATACTTCAGTAATCATGACCTGTAAGTAGACACAAGCTCTGAATGTCCTCTGTGCTTTCTGTACCCTCTCACATGGTTTTGTTTGTATCACATCATGATGGAAGAAACCATTTTACTGGCTAGCATGTCTATACATTTTTAAATAGGGAATTTGCTATGTGCAACATTGTATTTAGACTTCTTTTGAACATAGCATAATAAATTATTATGGTCTGTTTCTTAGCTATATGTTGGAGCAATTTACTGATTTACCAACAGTAGAACTTTATAAACTCTATATTGTTTCCCTTATCAGTATAAACACAACTGTCATGTTTAATAGCTTTCCAAATCTACTGTTTTATTTTATTAGGCCTAAATACAGTCTTTGTAAAAGCAACTGAATTAACTTTTTTTTTTTTTGTTTGATCCAGTTTAGAAGTTATGTCGGGTTTGGAAAACCAGGACAGAAACACGTTGTTTCTGCTCTGATTTTTTATTTTTGTTTCTGAGCCTTGGTTATAGATGTAAGCAAATATCTCAGGCCTAATGGGTGACTACTAAAAGCATTTGGAAGAATGAACTACCGTTGACCAATGAAATTGTTCTTTTCTCTGCTGTGATTAAGGATAAACATCAATTACAAGCTGAAAACTTGGAAATCCAAATTGTTTCTGACGTTCCGAAGTTCTTTTAGACCAGAAACTCATATTTAAAATAATTCTAATAGCACAAGAGAGCAGTTTCAGTATAAATGAAGGTAAAAGTGTCTGCGTGCTGTGTGTCAGGTATCTCCCTGAGGTAATGGGAGACGGCCTGGCCAGCCAGATCAACAACCCAGAGGTGGAGATCGACATCACCAAGCCAGACATGACCATACGACAGCAGATCATGCAGCTCAAAATAATGACCAATCGACTGAAAAACGGCATCAATGGCAACGATGTGGATTTCCAGGATGCCAGTGAGTACACTAAGTTTGCAGAATTTCACAGATTTCTCAGTGCTCACAGTATTCTCTTTGCCAAAGTGTGATCCAAGTTTGTTACGTGGTTTTATTGTGTCAGATTTTACCCTTGAATGTGGAAATATTCAAGGCCCAGATTGAGGCTGTACTTTAACTCAGTATTCTTTCATTAAGTTAATAAAGTTCCAGGCACACTTCCAGGAAGGTTAGTGACTCAGTGATAAGTTTTACACCTATAAAGTAGATGTACATAAGTGAAGTGGTGGCCAATGAGTGTTAAGGCCACTCTGGTCCATTCAGTCTGACCCCATGTTTTCTACCCCTCTGAATTCTCTGGAGTATGATTTTGCTGCCAAGCGACTCTTCATTCAGTAGCATTGTCAGTTTTTTTGATGCTGATAATTTCTATCATTTAATTTTCGCATTAGTTCACTTTTTAATGATCTAGTTAAAAAATGAATTATGTTTGTTCTTTTTTTAAAAAATCAAGTTGGGTGTTGATTTTAATGATAACTTATTTCTGCACAGACAGCATGTAACACTCAACATCCAGTGGTTCTCCTCCATATTTTAATTGGAAACTATTGCCAAACTGGTTTCTTGTCATCCCTCTTAAGAACAAGCTTGTCTGTTTTGCTCCCTGCTGAAGAGTAGATCTCATCTAACAGAGTCTCTTTGTTTTATTTGTTTCATTTGTTTAAAAGCGCATTTGTAGGTGGAGCATGGACAGGTCAGTTCTGACATTTTACATTATGATCTTGTGTGTTTTTTCCAACATAGGTGATGACATCAGCGGCTCTGGAAGTGGCATGTGCAGCGATGACCAGTGTGTCCATGGTTCCCGTGTTATGACCCCTAGCACAAACAAACCTAGACACTATCCCAACCCCCCAGAGAACAAGAAGGTGGTGAAAGGCCTGGGCAGCCGGAACGTCCCCTGCAGCGCCCTCTACCTGCTGTCACTGGCCACAGTCCTGCTAAGGCGATAATCCACAGGCATTTCCACCAACAGGGACTCAGTATGGCACAGGTGGACGGATTGAGGAGGGGTGGGGATATAAGGCAGGGTAGTTACTGCCGAAAAACGGAAAGAAAAAAAATCAAAACCAACATACAAAACATACAAACAATAGCAAAACAAGTGGAAACAATTGAATGACTTGACTTTTTTGTCACTATAAGAACAAATATTCTTAGTTTTCTGTTCTTTCTGTCTCTTTTTGAAGTATTCTGCACTCCTAGAGCAGTTCTTTTGCTGGTCTTCTACATCTCCGGTGTGAGTTAAACACATTGTGCACCTACGAGCTGGTAATTTCTGGCAATAGAAGCAACTTATATATTTGAGTTTTAGCACCACAAGAGCTGCACAAATTGCTTACTTGTTCTTGTTTCCAAATTAGAACTTCCGATAATTTATTTATTTCAGTCGAAAATGGTTCTAATCATGAATCCCAAAGCATTTGGACGTCCGGTATGCACAAAACAGATCCTATCAGCAGTTACCACAAACAAAGAGAAGATAGTTTGGGCCTCCAAGGCCTAACAGTGATTGAAACCTGCTTATGAGTGAAGAAGACCTATCCTAACTTAACATGCTTTTTGCAGTTGCTTCTCTTTGTTCGCTAGGTGTTCTTTAGCTGATGAGACCATCTTTTGTCATTTATCTCCATCTCTCTCATGCTTTTGATCAATATCGTTACCGTTTTTCCGTCCGCAGCTTTGTATGAACAATAATGGGCAGGCCTGCAGAGAGCACTACCTATATGTTACCACAGTTACGAATGAAGTACGAAGATACTAACACAGCCATCAGCTTCTGACACATCAGTTGCACCCCTTGGCAAAGCATAGAGTTAAGAAGTTCGTACACCAGCAAAAGAGAAAGAGACAAAAAAAAATCAAGATGTTACATAGAATAGTCCACAGAAGAGACCCTCTCAATTGAATCAGCTTTGGAATATGCAGAAAGATTTGTGTATGTGTGTGTTTTGTGAGGTTTTGTGATGAATAAGACTACACAGGAACCAAGTAAGAGGAGATTTTTGGACTGGATGAAGAAGAACAAACATCTTTTGGAGACACCCGTGGACGATGAAGCAACCTTCTGGAAAGTTGGAAAGACTGTAATTTACTGTGTGTTTCAGTAGAACAGCAACATGCAGGTTTCAGTAACTGATGATACAATCCCCTCCCTAATCTATCACTGTACTACTTCTGTACTACTTCTTCTCCTTTAACTCAAACTGTTTGATTGTGATGATGCATGTGATGGTCTCGCTGCAATACAAACCTTCAGTGAAAGAGTTTATATTTTTAGAGGGAAGTCTCTGAATGGTACTCTATAGACCAGAGATCTCCAAATCTGGACATTGAATCGAGTTTCCGGCCCTGTAATTTGTAGTCACTATTGATGGCCACTGAGTGCCTCATCTACCAGCGATAACAAAATCCCAGATCAGAAAGTGGATTCAGGGTCCTGATTTGAAGACCTCTGCTATAGACAGCAGTGGTGTAACAGTTAACCCCTTTCGCGGTTTGGTTCGGTCATCGGTTTCTAGGCCACGGTTCGGTTTGTATCATGGTTCACCATGGATGTAACTTTAAACTATAGTTTTTTATTACACATACGTTTAATGCAGTGTGCAGTGTGCAAATACGAACCAACTTGCAAATACAAACCAGGTGTCTTTTCAAAAAGAGATCAAAACAATTTGTTTTTAAAAGCTCCTCTTATACAAAACCTTCACAAAACAAAGTGCAAGAACAAAAATAAGTAAAACGAATGTAAACATCAGCAAGTAATATGAAACGAACATCAAGAGGTAGAGCAGTTGTATCAATCAGTGAGAATGAAAAGTGCAAACTAATTGTAAACTTAAAGTAAAATAAATGTAACCATCACTCGTTTTTCAAGTTTCATGAAAGTAGCTAGTAGAACAACTTGAGGCGTTCCAGCTATCCGTCATAATTGCGATGAATTGTGCCTTCCACCGCTCTTCACAAAGTTCTGCCTTTGTTTCTTCATGTTTCCAAGTGTACAAAAATTCTATACAATTTGAAATGAACGCATATAAATAAAACTGAAAGGCTGTGAAACTGAACCTGTGAAGGGCACAATATAAATAAAACCCATTCGTACTATTATCTTACACAATGAATCAACCTATTGCCTTTGTTATTGCTTGAGCACCTGGACACGTCAAGTCTAAGTCATGACCAAAACTGTGTAGTCGCAGAGTCCAAGTGAAGACTGTGACCAGATTAAGTTAGAAAAAAAAAAAATTAAATTTGTTTGTATGTCCTTTGTATATTCATCAACCTGCATTTAGTGAAGCAACATTACATGATATATATCATAATATATGATGATTATCATATGTTCCAACTTTGCATTGTAACTTTTGGAAGCAAATGATGGTGAGGTTATTCTCTGTCCCTCTTCTCTAAAACTAATTCCGAATCACCACCTAAAGCCAACTGAATTAAAAACCAAACAACATGCATTTTTAGTACTACAAGAAGATTTTATTATTATAACAAGATTCTGCCCTGCACTCAGGAGAATTTTGGACCCAGTGAAGATCAACAAGTAAAGTCATTAGATTCTAACCTGGTAGTGAACAGATTTATTAAAACATGTAGAGAAAGACTGTTTTATTTATTGCTGATATTCAATAATGATAGAATCCAGTCAGCTTAGATGGAGGTGTCGCACTTGGACGGTCTCAAGAACAAAGTCCATTTCACCCCTAGACCGAGACAAGGCCGAGACCCTGGACTTGAGTACTACAACGCTATCTACGATAGGCAAGGCAAAAAAAAATGTTCATTTCATGCACCGTGAGCCGAACCGTAGGCTGCCAAACTGTGGATTTGAGTTTCGGTTCAGAACCGTTCCACCACTGATAGACGAATAAGAGTGAGAGTTGAGAGGAGTGTTAAAGCGTTTTTGACTCTGGACTGGGAGTGTGGCTATGTGCATGTTTGTAAGTGTGTATTTGTGTGTGTTTGTCTATGTTGGCATGTTTGAAAGTGTGAGTGTGTTTGTCTTTAAAGGGCCCAAATCATGAAAAACCCAATTTTCCTCACTTTTTTGAAACTGTGCACAGCTCTGGCTACCAACTGTGCGCTCATGAGGCAGAGAGTTTAAAAGGCACAGCGAAATAATGAAGCCATCGACAAGCTCAAGACAAAAGAGAAAGTTCAGACAGCACTGTTAATAAATGACATTTTGTTCCCACCAAAACGTTCTACAGGGATGTAATTGTTCTCCAAAATAAACAAATAATAGAATTTGTGAAACAAAAACACAGGCCATGCACACATATTGCAGCTGCATCACTGCATATTTAGCACTCACAGGTACATCTGATCTGGAGAGTTGAAATTTGACAACTCCTACTGTTAAAGAAAGTCTTCCAACATGACGTTTTTTAAGGTACGCAAACTTATGCCTCGTTTTAAAAGGAGATGTACACGAATTGTTCAAACAGAATATGTCAGCAGCCTTGCTTCCAATATCTCCACCCATTTCTGTGTCATCCTCCTACGTTTTGCATGAGCCTCCTTCAAATGCAGTTGCATGAGAGAGACGGTCATTCTGCCTTTTTCCATGCACACAGGTCATAAACTGCATGTGTGCATTTCTTACCTAACACATGGGCAGAATGTGTCCGCTTTGTGTCTGCACCTGTAGCAAAAGGCTTAGTACCCAGTATTAGTACCCAGTATTAGTACTCAGGCCCAGTGTGTGTGTTGTTCTGTGTGGACATGTACATGTTTGGAAGTGTGTGTGTATCTGTGTGTGGAAAGTTACATGAGAGTGTGAGACAATAGAAATAAGTACTGCAGCTTGATTGATGCTCAAGGTTGCTGAATTCTTCAGTTTCAGTGCCTGTGACTGTGTCTTTGTTCTGTGAATGAGTCTTCACAGCCCTCAGTGATGACTTCACTCACTGGTCATGGCCCCAGAATGTTTGGTGGAGTTCTAGATGGCGTCATAAAGTGCACTCATTGAGAGCAATGCATGAATATTACAGATTACCACAGGGGGCAGTGTGGAGACTCAGAGGGAACTTTGGGGTTTGCAGTCTGCCACAGGGGGCAGTGTAGGGACTCCAAGGTAAAAATCCTTGGAGTTAAAAGTATGCCAGTGTGGGGACTCCAAGCTATAAAATAATTGGACTTTGCCATCTGCCATAGGGGGCAGTGTGGAGACTCTAAGGGATAAATTTGTTGGAGTTCACAGTCTGACATAGGAGGCAGTGTGGAGACTAAGGGAAAAATGCCTTGGAGTTCACAGTCTGACATAGGGCACAGTGTAGAGGCTCTTAGGGAAAAATTCCTTGGAGTTCACCGTGAAATAGGGGGCAGTGTGGAGACTCTTAGGGAAAAATTCCTTGGAGTTCACAGTCTGCCATAGGGGGCAGTGTGGAGACTAAGGGAAAAATTCCTTGGAGTTCACAGTCTGAAATAGAGGGTGGTGTGGACATTCTAAGGGAATCTTGGAGTTCACAGTCTGTCAATCGGGTTTATGGAGACTCCAAAGGAAAAAAATCTATAGTGAATAATCCACCACATGAGGCAGTCTGTAGACTGTAAGAAAAGCTTGGAGTTTACAGTCTGAAATAGGGGGCAGTGTGGACATCCTAAGAGAATCTTGGAGTTCATGGTCTGTCATCAGGGTTTATGGAGACTCAGAGGGAAAAAAGTCTTAGAGTTAATAGTCTACCACAGGGGGCAGTCTGGAGACTGTAAGAAAAACTTGGAGTTTACAGTCTGCCACAGGGGACAGTGTGGGGGCTTTGAGGGAAAAATTCCTTCTGCAGTTCCAGCACTGAACTGAAGGCCTCATGGGACATCCCTGCATCCCTACAGCACACATTCCAAAATATACGCAAGAAAAAGTGAGGGATAAAATGGTACCAAAAAAATCCCCAACATCTCCGTTTCTGAAAATTTGCACAATTTCCGCCTTCCTTGTTATCTCCCTGTATTTCTAAGTTTTTGTGCCACATCCTCAGTGCTCCACTCCTTTTTTTTTAAGTCGGCTTGATTTTTTTTTCGAAAATGCTGCACTTTTTCTGACGCGCATGACCACTCGTCAATAGCACAGCACAACCTTGTTTGTTTGATGCTAGCCTGATGCTAACCTGATGATAGTGATCGTAGCAGACCTGCCGAAGCTATTGTTGATCAATGGGGATCCGTCACATACGTGCATGCTGTATTCACAAACCCGGGTAAAGTGGTGGGTGTCTTAACAGGGACTGTATACATGTGACGTGATCCCCAGATGAGCGCTTAGCAATAGCATCTCGGATAGCATCTCGAATAAAAGGCCTGAATGAAAAGGTGAGAATGCTATGCTGGTGGTTAGTGAGCTAATTTAGTTTAAGGTTGGTTTGAGCTGAATAAAAGTTACTGGGTAACAACCTGACTTTAAAGCCAAACCTGATTTTAGCTCACTAGCCTGAGACTTGCTAATTGTTCTGACAACAGAACTGGTGTCCCAGGGACCCTAAAGCACCACTTTAATTGTTGAATGTGGGTGGCATTACTGAAATGTGCCAGGTTGAAAGAGAGAACGAGAAAAAGAATGAAAAAAAAAATCGACATAAAATACATTCTGATATATGCTTTATTAATTTCTTTTGTGTTTCTGTTTTGTTTTCCAATAAACACCAATAGAGAGTTTGTGTTCATGGATAGAGTGTGAAAACCGTCAAGGAGCTTGACGAAAATTGTGTCAAATTTGCTGTTGTATGTTCCTGGACAACTTCTTGTGTCAATTATATACATCATACTATTTTCAAGATGTCTGTGTCAAACTCATTTCAGTTGTTTTCAGTTATTTTTAACTGTCTTTACATCCATAAACTGTAAAAAGAACAGAAGAACGGATGCTCGGTGCATGGCAGATTTCTTTGGAGAGAAATTTTAAATGACTCCCTGTGTATTAAGTTATGAGTCAGCCAAGCGACAAAGATAAAGTTCAAAATTGTCACGCTTTCTTGCTAATTTGATGAATTTCCCACTTCCCACACTGACCAGCGGGTAAGAATTCAACTAAATGACTAAGTAAGAGCTGTACAAATTTGTCTGAGGCAGTACTTTTTGTAGTCAATAGAAAATACAGAGAACAATTTTGTATTATTGCAGACATAGATTCACTCAAATTTATGGTAGAGTTACAATACACACAACTGCAGAATTTTATAGTAATTTGGTAAATGCTATGCCTGACTTCAAAGTTGTTTAAAAAGATGTGATAATCTGGGGTTGTCTTGTTGTCTTATATGTGCTGTGACACATGCTAATTGAGCACTCATACATAATCAGAATATGATTTATAAAAGGTAGCAATCAGAATATAAAAGAGGAGGACAAACTAAATGGAAAAAACACATAAATAAGGGACTTTGAGGAAACTGAATCACAATCACATACATAAGTCATAAGTTGAATGGCAATTTCAGCTATGAAAGAGATTTGACAATCAACACTGTAACACACCAAACACACTAAATCCACTAAATGTATTCCTCTGACAACTACAAGCTTTTCTTATCGACGATTGAACCAATATACAGAATCACAACACAGTTTAGCACTTGTAGGACAGAGTTTGTCAGATTTGGTCAGTAGTTCTCAATCCTGGTTCTGCAGTACAATTGATTCTTATTATATGAGCTGCATTGATGCAAAAATGTATATACTTCCAATCAAATTACATCTTGTAAGATGTTGAAAGTTAGTTAATACACCCTTTACAGGGAACAAACTTAAATATGACACTTTTTTTAGTGCACAAGTTAAGTTTAACATATTGGAAAATATAGTTTTATTTTTTCCAGTATGTTAGAAATCAGTAATTGAGCATTTAAATGAGTTTTTATTCGATTAATTTAATACATACCAAATTATATAGACCAGAACAAGGCCCCATGTCTTAGAAGTCACCCCACACCTCATCTAGGGTCATCCTGGCCTGCTCCAAGGTAATTTTATATCTTATCTTGAGTCACATTGGCTCTACACCAAGGTATGCTTTTGGTCTGTAGGAGCTATCTAAGACATGTTCAGGGTTTATTTGGCTGTACTTGATGCTGGCTACTTGGCAGAATCACAGCAATCCATGAAGGTCCAAGAAGCTGTTCCAGATGGAAAGGGTGGCCTTACTTTTTATTATGACATTTATTAGGGGTCCAAGCACGAAGGCACTATAGCAAAGCGTCACAGGTTTAGGGCCAGCGATTCTGTACTGTATGTCATAGAAACAAAGTTCTTTTTGCTTCTGATTAGTTATGTCATGGTCCTCAAAGCAGCTATTTTGCCCATATTAAAAATCTGTAGATTTAAAGGTAATTTGCATTTTATGCAAATTTGTACACATTTTTGAGCGTGAACAAATCTGTTATCAATGGAATCCTAACAAGCTGAACTTTAATAAGTCACAAAAAAATTATTCGAATTTCATCACTGTGTATCGTCCCAAAAATGTGGGTGGAGCTCAAATTTCAAAATCATGCATATACAGCTATAACTCAGAAACGCTTTGACCAAAACTTAATAGGCTTGTACACTGTGGCAGTCATAGACGATTTTCAGAGTTTGGTGGAACTGCACCGCTAGGTGGCGCTATAACGAGCAAAAAAGTGTTACACAACCAAAGGTTGTCCGATTGACATGAAAATTGGCATGGTGCTACAATGTGCTGTCCTGGATCAGGATCTATGAGACTGATGTCATATTTGAAAAAACATAGCCACCATCGACAATCAGATTTCAGCAGGTATTTGACAGCCTTAAAATTGGCCAATCACCATGAAACTCAATAGGTATTTCTACATATGGACTGTCTAGTACCCTTTGAAGTATGACAGGTATTGGTCACTGGGGGGCGCTGCTCATGTTTTAAAACACTAAAATGAGTAAAAATCTTATACTGTACAGATTATAAACATGCAGTTAGTATCAAATAATGCTCTAAAGTGAGGAGGCCAACTTTGCAAATGCAAGTCATTTACTAATTATACAAATGCACATCATTTGAAAATGATCTATACTGAACTTGTCCTACAGTTTACACTCCATCATCTCAAGTCTGGTCATATACTAAAGATTGGAGTCTGAAAGTAAATAATTATCAAAACATTTTGACTTTTTCACAAAGTGTATCTGCAATTGGGCTCCCGATTGGCACAATCGTCTAAGCGTTGGCCCTATCATCAGGAGATCGCAAGTTTGATCCCTGGTGATGCTACAGCCATCCATAGCCGGGAGTCCAAGAGAGCACTATTGGCCTCGCTCTCTCTGGGTGGGTAGGATGGCCCCTCCTTCTAAAGGGGGCAGTGGGCTGGAGATTAGGGTACCAGCCTTGTGACCAGAAGGTTGCCTGTTCGATCCCCTCAGACAGTACGTGACTGAAGTGCCCTTGAGCAAGGCACCTAACCCCCAACTGCTCCCCGGGCGCCATGGATAGGGCTGCCCACTGCTCCGGGCAAGTGTGCTCACTGACCCCTAGTGTGTGTGTTCACTAGTGTGCATGTATGTGGGTGTTTCACTGCACGGATGGGTTAAATGTGGAGGGCTACTTCCAATGTGTTCAAACACAGTTGGCTAAAGGTTCATTCATGTCATGTCATAACGTCAATAAATCCATCTGGATGGAGTTTTACCTGTAATTCACACATACATTATCTGCTTGAGACCAAAATTGGTACATACATACAAAATAATACTCTGAGGAAGCACACCAATTCACCTCCAAGGGGTGCTACAACATGTAATCATATATAGATTATGTAAAAAGAACATATCTCTCGCTCAGTTTACAATAAAGAAATGCAGATGTTGACAAAATACGACAATAAGGCATTTTCTGATTGACACCAAACTTGGAACACCTGATCAATGTCCAACATTGAAAAAGGTGCAAAATTTAGTGGGCATAGGGCAATAGGGGGCGCTAAAACAATATCAAATCATTATAAATAAATATGTATAATAAATACAAACATTTTAAAACTATAATTTCATATGTATTCCAAAAAACACAACAGATATTGCTTCAGTGTCTGTCATGCTATGCACAAACCAAAGAAGTCATTCTACTGCAGCATGTAAAAGTCATTTACTGCCAAAGTTGCCAAATCGGTTCATTAAGTATATTTGCACCCCATCTAAATGACTCGTAAGTCAATTTAAACACTTTATAAAATGAGTATTACCAATAAGTAGACCACCTAAACATCAACCTTTAATTTAATGTCTTTCATACTATGAGCATATTAAAGACGAAGTCCAACTACAGCAGCATTTCAAAGTAATTGGCAGCTAAAGTTACCAAATCAGCTCATATGTACCCCGTTTGATTGTCTCATTAGTCAAACTCAACACATTATAAGATGACCGTTTCCAATAAGTAGACCAAAAAACACACGTTTTGGTGTAAAGTCTGTCATACTATGAACATATGAAAGATAAGGTCCATTTACTGCAGCACTTTAACATAAAAGGCTGCGTGTGAAAGCTCTTTTTCAATAACATTTAAAGTTCATATATGTGTACGAATCTTTACTGACATGTACCTGAGGAGGGTCGTGGCCAAAATGTTGGGTGAACTTGCAAAGCAAGCTTGGACCCCGCAAATCGCTAGTTGCGGCTATATTTAATATATTGTAATTTCCATTATTCTGTCCACAACACCTGATGATACTGCTATTGATTTCTCCACCTTCAAACATCAAGTACAGGAGCCAGCTTGCCGCCTGCAAAACCGGGTTGAGTTGTGTAGATTGTATAAATAAGCACAAATTACGTAAACTCAAATGAATGAACTATCATGACCTTCAACAAAACAGTGATAAAATACAGTGTAAAACAGTTTGACAATATTAACTGGTAGGCCCTAACATTAGCCCTCTCATTCCCTATTTGCCAGGCTCCTGAAGGTAAGAATGCCGCTCTAAGATCAGTTCCTGTGTCCTCACAGTCACATTGATTAGCATACATAAAGCATAAGCTGATCCCAGATCAGCACATTTGCTCAGGGAAGGTTGATAAATATAGCCCTCAGTGTTTCTGGGCTTGCTGCCCGTGCAGCTCACCTGTTCCCTCTCCTGGGTAGAAGCCGTCTGTTGCTGTGCTAGGACTGATGCCAGCATTGCACTGTTTTGCCATCTAACAGACAATCGGCTTGAGATCAGTGTTTTAATTATCTAAGAAAAATAAAAGTGCCAAGAGGGCTCTTTGGAGCGATGATGGAAAAGAACTACCTTTGGTTTACTAAAACAGTGGTTCTCAAACTAGTCCTCAGGGCCCCTCAGACAGCCCACATTGGGAATTTAAGCAAAAAATGTGGGCTGTCTGGGGGGCCTTGAGGGCTGGTTTGAAAACCACTGCCTTAAAGAACCTTTCAGTTGATGGTTCTTAATAGGAACACTTCAGCGATTTTAGATGCAAAGCACCTTAAGAAATTGGCTTGTGACTCACTCACATTCAGCAGTCTGAAAGTTCTCCACAAGGGGGCAGCATTAGCAGTTAAATAACTTTTGATAGTTCATAAGAGTGGTGCTTTGCATCAATGAGACTTTACTTGTCTGTTGCATCTGCAGCACTACCAACTATGGTCGATTAGCATGGACAACAATTTCAACACCACTTTGAAAAGAACAAGTTCAAAAGTATTAGAATAACCCTGAAAAGAACAGTGCATTGGAGTTCTTTAGGGAACAAAAGGTGGCTCTTCTATAGCATCGCTCCAAAGAACCC